CTGTGCTTTCTGGTGTCATATTCAAGTCATTATCAAAGCCAGTTTCAAGCTCTTTCTCAATTCTTCTAGAATTTTTATCCTTGGGGGTCTTACATTTAACCACATAAGCCATTTTTAGTTGATTTTTGTGTGTGGTGTATGATAAGGATTTGATTGTTTCTTTTTTATGTGTATATCCAGTTTCCCAAAAAGCACTTATTGAAAAGGCTGATCATTTTTCCCCACTGTATTGAAAAGTAGTTAACCAAAATGTCAAATTTTAAATTACTTTTAAACTAGGTATAGCTCTTTAAAGAGCCAATAACTGAAATAAAGTAAAACTTTAAAATATTTTATTAAACCAAAAGAAGGCAGGAAAGCAGTAATAAAGAAAAAACTTGGTTTTAATTTTTGTTTTTGGCTGCACTGCACAGCATGTAGGATCTTCGTTTCCCAACCAGGGACTGAACCCATGCCCCCTGCGTTGGGAGCACAGAGTCTTAACCACTGAACTACCTGGGAAGTCCTGGAAAAACAAATTTAAGCAAATTCAAAAATATAAATTTTCATTAAGGGAAGACTAAAAAGTCTTTCACTACCCACAAAGTGACATATTGTTTGAAATTATACTGAGACCAAAAGCCAGAGATTTTTACAATGGGTAAAGCAACATGACTTGAAAGTGTGTGCGTCGTGCTGAGTGCGAAACCAGAAATGAGATGACCTGTCTACAAGCATCCCGTTGTCTACACCCGACACCAGTAATGGCAAAACTGTGAGGGAGAACAGGTTTATTCGGAGGACCACGGTCCCCTTGACTCTGGAGATTGTTCCCACTTCAGAATCACCTATCTCCTGCATTCTCTCCTTAAGCCCTGAAAGGAGCCCAGGTCACCAAGAATTAAGGGCTGGACTTTCAGCATCCAGAGGATGCTCCGGAGGAGCTCTGAGCTTCTTTCTTTCCTGAGAGTCTCTATTGGCTCCCTGCATACCGATAGCTTCTAGGTCATCAGTATGGGCATCCTATGACAAACATCTTTCCAAATTTTCTTACGATTCTTCCATTTCCTGGGTTTCTTCATTGTATCTCTTTTCTACCCTTTTTGGTCATTTCATACCACCTGAACATTTTTCAGCATACCAAAGGAAGATGTTTAAAGCAAGTGTTTAAAGCATTAATAGTAACAATGTGCCGCTGCTGCTGCTAAATCACTTCAGTCGTGTCCGACTCTGTGCGACCCCATAGACAGCAGCCCACCAGGCTCCCCTGTCCCTGGGATTCTCTAGTCAAGAACGCTGGAGTGGGTTGCCATTTCTTTCTCCAATGCGTGAAAGTGAAAAGTGAAAGTGAAGTTGCTCAGCCGTGTCTGACTCTTCGCAACCCCATGGACTGTCCTCTACCAGGCTCCTCAGTCCGTGGGATTTTCCAGGCAAGAGTACTGGAGTGGGGTGCCATTTCCTTCTCCAAGTAACAATGTATTGGGTGGTTATTGCATACCTAAGAGTGAAACTATGATGACAATGGAACAAGGACTGGGAATCAAGGCAACACTGTTTTCAAGTCTTTCATCACACATGAAATAATACTATTTGATGGTAGATTCAGATTTTTCAAAATGTACATTGTAAACTCTATGGCATGACTCAAAAAAGTTTTTAAAAGAAGTACAAAAAATAAGTGAGATGAAATCAACTTTATTTTTTAAATAATAAAACTAGAGAAGGCAGAAAAGAGAAAAAAAGAAATAGAAGAAATGAAACTAATAGAAAACAGCTAGCAAAGTGGTATATTTTAATCCAACTATACATAGTAACTTTAAAGGTGAGTGGATTAAAAGTAACAGTTAAGAATTGACAGACTGTTTAGCAAAAAAAGCAAGACTCAACTGTATGAGGATGTATTAGTCATGGTTCTTCAGTAAAACAGAACTAATAGCATAGATCATTGGCCATTGGCTCCTGTGATGGTGGAGGACAAGAAGTTCCACAATCTGCTGAGAGCTAAAAAAAAAAACGAGGAAAGCTGGTGGTTTAATTCTGTCCACGTCCAAAAGCCTGAGAACCAGGAGAGTCAATGGCATAAGTTCCAGTTGAGGTCCAGAGGCCCGAGAATCAGAGTGCTGATGATGTTAAGTCCCAGTCCAGGTCTGAAGGTCTGGGAACCAGGAGCACTGATGTCCAAGGGCAAATGAAGATGAATGTCCCAGCTTAAAACAGAGAATAAATTGGCCCTTCCTCTGACATTTTGTTCATGTCTCAACTGACTGGGTGACGCCTACCTGCAATGGTGACTGCAATCTTCTTCACTCAGTCTGTGGATTAAAATGTTAATCTCTTCTGGAAACACCCTCACAGACACACCAAGAGATGTTTTACCAGCTTTCTGGGCATTCCTTAACTCAGTCAAGTTGACACATAAAACTAACCATTATACTACTCTATGAGGCACCTATTTTAATATTATAAAAGAATACTTCCAGTTTCAGCTCTAACATGTAAAGAATTTGGAAATCATAACACATCATTATGATGTGAAAAAGATGAAAAGACTGAAAATCATTGGCTTTTTGGGGGGGGCCCATCAGAGAACTGAGGTTGCATGGCAGACTTGCACCCCAAAATCTGGAAAGACAGACAAACCCACAGACTTGAAGCTGAGATCTACTTACCAGAGAACCAAAATCTACTGGAGCCATAACCTAGTGGGCGTACTTAAATGAGTTTTGACAAATTGCTGGTGGCTGATGTGGTCTAGCTTAAAAGTAAGAAGCTTTGGTGAGCTGCAGTATTTGGAAGAAGTGCCTAATTTCCTGGGTTTTGCCTCTGGGGACCCCACCAAATTCTCAGAGTGAAAAGCTGAGAAAGATCCCCTCATGGCTTTAGGCAGGGGGAGGAGGAGTAGAAATCACAGGAGATATGTGCACAGTGTTTTCCGTAACGAAGGCTGGTCTCCGGAGGAAAAGACTTTGGCAGAACTTTATCCAGGAGCACAAAGAGTGGGCAGCTTATAGCACCAGTGCATGCACCCACCGATTCTGGGAGGCAGGGGAAAAAGGCTCGGTTAACATTGGAGATGGTCGACAGCATCTCAAGGGAGTTCCCTGGCAGTTCAGTGGTTAGGACTCCATTCTCTCACTGCCAAGGGCCTGGGTTCAATCCCTGGTGGGGGAACTAAGATCCCACAAGCTGAGAGCACAGTCAGAAAAAAAAAAAAAATCACTTTGAGAAAGTGCAGGATAAACAGTGGGTGCCAAACTGTCTTCTGGGGAGTCTTCACTGCCGCTCCCAGAGCTAGTTTCTCTGGCGGAGAACTGTGTTTATTGTCTTACAATTCTGGAGGCTAGAAGTCTGAAATCAAGGTGTTGGCAGGGCCAAGCTCCCTCAGAAGCTTCAAGGGGAGGATTCTTCTTTGCCTTTGCCAGCTTCTAGCAGCCTTAGGCATTCCCTGGCTTGGCTCAGCATGACTCCAGCCTCTTCCATGGCCAACTTCCCTCTGTGTCCTCACGGGGCATTTCCGTGTGTGAGCATCTGTGTTTACGAGATTCCCTCTAAGGATACCAGTCATATTGGATTAGGACCCACCCTCACGGCCTCATCTTTTTAATTAACTTTTATTGGAGGATAATTGCTTTACCCTGCTGTGTTAGTTTCTGCTGCACAACAAAAGGAATCAGCTGTATGTACACGTGTCCCCTCTTTCTTGGATTTCCTCCCCACTCAGGTCACCGCACTAATGGCCTCATCTTAATTTCCAAATAAGGTCACACTCACAGCTAGGACTTCAACCTATCTTTTTCTGTGGAAGACAGAAATCAACTCATAACAGCAAGTATCCTGGAGAGTTAAGGAGAACTCAGCAGAGATCACTGAATGAGGGGGAGTGCTCAGGCTGAAAAGGAAGACAGGCCAGGATGGGCTGGGACACAGGAGGGGAAAGGGGTTAGGGAGGGGGCTGGAAGTTTTGTAAGAAGCCGTGTTAAATTACTGCCAGAACATCTATTCAGACTCGAGGAGGAAACACATTAAAATGGTTAGTAGTGGTGGTTATTAGCAACAACTTTAATTTTCCATCTCTGCTGCAAAAGCCACATGGGGGCATTACATGAAGAGGCTGGCCCAGTGCAAACACTTAACAAGTATTTCCCAACATTTTCCAGATGATGTTAATAACCTTGTGCACACAGTATACGAATCTGACAGAGGGAAAGCATAGTGAACACTTGAAGGCAGAGACGTGGTTGGGTGAAGTGTAACAGCACGGACACAGTAGAGGCAAGCTGCCTCAATTTTCCATTCCAGGAGGAGAAATACTGGTACTTACTGGAAAGAAAAGGAAGTGCATGACTGAACAGAAAGAGATTCTATAAACCTGTCCAATATTGGCAAAAAAGTGAGATAAGCCTACGCTGTGGGATGTCCATGCTATGTGCCAACAGCACTGGTTAGGACACGTCAGCCTGCAAATGACCAAAACGCAACTAAAACTGCCTTACATAATAAGGAGCAACAATCTCATATAACAAGAAATTTGGGGTTAGGGAGATTCCAACTGCTTCATTAAGCCAACAAAGACCACGTTTCTACTTCCTGGTCCACGGTTACCACGCTCCTCCCTCTCCAGTACAGCTGCTGACGTCAGAAGAGGAGCTGTGTCTTCCCAAACATCTCTTTCTAAAAGCTAAAGAACTTTCCCCAGAAGCACCCTGGAGGACGTCTCACCCGACCTCACTGGCCAGGATGCCCTCCCATGGGCCTGCCTCTCCTGAAGCACGTGGGGTGCACATCCCGAACAGTTCATTAGGAAGAAGCAGAAGAGAGGGAGAAAAAGTGCTCAGAGCGGCTACCAGAAAGGTACCCCACAGGGTCTTCCACACCTGTCTACACACAGGACATGCAGGGGGCTGAACAGAACAGGAAGCTGGAATCTAAATGAACCACTCAGGATGGAAACGCATGAAGTCAAAGATGAGGGCCAAGCGATGGGCGTCCCCGGCCTGGGGTACAAGGCGAAGAGAATCACCTCACTTCCCACCAGTCACTGGGGGGATGACTACAGATGCTAATGGACTCAACCAGAAAAACGGCCGGAGACGGGAGCTGGAAGAACAGGAGAACGTGTGCAGGTACTCTCCGTCCACAGCATTGTAGAAGGAGACTTCCCGAGCCCCGTGATCTAGGAAAACTCCCACCCGCTGAAGAGCTGGTTCTCGCTTGGTAGGACTCACGGAAGTGCCTGTCAGGGGCCGATAGCCAGCAGAACTCCAACAAACAGCCCAGATTCCCACCTTGGGGCACATTTCTGAGCCTCCAGGGATCCCCATGATGTCCTCCCGACACACTCCCGCAGCCACCTCCAGGCTGCCTCGGTTCTCGACTTCCCAGTAATGCTTCCCTGAAGTGAAAACATTTTTTCCCAAAACACAGGGCAAATGCTGAAATCTCTCCACAAAGCCTGTGGTCCTCTGCGGATTCCTCCATCCAGTAGCGTAGCTCCATGCTGTAAAAAACAGTGGCCAAGAACTGGCGGATGCTCCGTTTTTCACATATCTCCCTTCCTGGGAGAAGACAAGTTTGGAATGAGCGGTGTCCTCAGCCAGATTTACAGCCACTGCAGAGAAAATGAGAGCTGAGATCAGTAATGCAGAGCTGACCAGTAACCCTGCTCCAGAAATGCGCATCTGTCCCAGCTTCAGTTCCATCCCTCTCCTCCTATCAAGTACTATTAGGGATGAGATACCTCACTGCCCCCTCAACTGCTCCTCAGCTGGACCTAGCAAGCCACAGTTTGCATTAGCAACCTGAGGTCTTCATTTCCCTTCGGCTCACAAAGACTACAGCCTAGAAAATGGGAGCTTTATTATTCCATGGCCCCAAGTCTTCACCATCAGCATAAAATGTGAAGAAACAATAATAAATACCGACTTGCTGAATCCGTACCAGAACCAAGGCTGTCAACTGGCTGGTTCTTTGTACAGGACACACAGATGTCACCCCAGGTCTCTGTCTACTGGTCGAGTTGTTCGCTGGGCATCTCCACAAACACCCAGCAGATAACTCAAAACCGAATTCAGGGCCTCCGAAGTCCCCTTCCATTCTCTTGAGACTAATCCTCCCTCATAAGCATACATCTTCTTTTCTATGCTCTCTAAGGCTTACGGACATGACCGTCACCCAAATGCTCATACTTGAAAATCTTAAGCTTCTTTGATTCTTCTTCCCCTCTGACCCTCGTTGGCTAATGAATCACCAAATCCTATCAATTCTACCTCTGAATTAATCACTCGGGTTCTTCCCTTCCTCTCCCATCGCCATTGTCTGCATTCAGACCTTCAGCAACTGTGTCTGTAACTTCCTCCCTGGCCTGCCTCCTAATTCTCTTCCCTCCCAAATCCTCCATGTCTCCTGTTTGCTGAGAGCTGCATTTTGTTTGTTTTTCTTAATTGACATAGATGTTAGATTTTGACAAAGGTTTCTTTTTCCTGCATCTACCGAGGTGATCAAATTGATCTTTTTTAAAGTGCTAATGTGGTGAATTACAGTGATTTGCAAATATTAAACCAGACCTGCTTTTCTGCGATAAATCCCATTTGGTTGTGATGTATTATACATTATTGAATTCAACTTGCTAAAATTTTCTTTCAAATTCTTCTATGTCATGACGGACATTGATCTATAGTTCGCTTTACTTGTAATGTCTGATTTTAGTATCATGGTAATGCAGGTCTCATAGAACAAGAATAGTCTCTTCAATTTTTTGTTAAGAATTTGTATAGAATAGGTATTTCTTAAATGTTTGGTGAAATCACCAGTGAAGCCATTTGGGGAGGTTTCTAACTATAACATGAATAAAGTTATTCCAGTTATCTATTTTTTCTTGAGTCAGCTTTGGTCATTTGAGTCTTTTAAGGACTTTGTCCATTTCATCCATGTTGTCAGATTTATCAGCATAAAGCTGCTCATAATATTTCCTAATTATCCTTCTAGCATCTACAGAAGCTGTAGCGATGATGCTTCTCTCATTCTTGATACTAGTAATATGTCTTTTTTCTTCCAGTCATTCTGCTTAAAATACATTTCAATAAAATTTAAATTCTCAAAGAGACAACTTTTGGTTCCACTAATTTTTCTGTTGTTTTTCTGTATTCAATTGCAATAATTTCTGCTCTGATTTTTGTTTCCATCCTTCTGTTTCTTTAGGGCTTTATTTGCTCTTCTTTTTCTAATGTCTTATGGTAGAAACTGGTACCGCTGGTTTAAGAAATTCCTTTGTAATACATGTGGTTAGTGCTATAAATTTCCCCTTAAGTATTGCTTTAGCTGTATCCCACAAATTCCTTTTCAATCAGTTCAAATTACTTCTTAATTTCCCTTTTGATTCACCTTTAGCTCATGGATTATTGAGAAGTGTATTATTTAGCTTCCTAACATTTGGGGACTTATCAAAGCTTTTTGTTTTTATTTTTACTGATTTCAAAATACACTGTAGTCAAAGAACATATTTTACATGGCCTGAATCCTTTTGAATACTGTAGCCCACAGGCTCCTCTATCCATGGGGATTCTCCAGGCAAGAACACTGATGTGGGTTGCATGCCCTCCTCCAGGGGATCCTCCCAACCCAGGAATTGAACCCAGATCTCCTGCATTGCAGGCGTATTCTTTAGCATCTGAACCACCAAGGAAGCCCTTGAATACTGATGTCTTATGGCCCACCTTGCTCTACCCTGGAAAATGTTCCATGTACACTCAAAAAGAATGTGTATTCTGCTGTTGTTTGGGGCAGTATTCTATAAATAACAGGGTGGTCAAGTTGATTGATAGTTTTATTCAGTCTGTCTTTGATGATTTTCTGTCTACTTGTTCTAAAATTTTTAAAAGGTATTGAAAATTCCAGCTGCAATTGTGAATGTGTCTATTTCTCCTTGCAGCTCTATTAGCTTTTGCTTAATATATTTTGAAGCTCTGTTATTAGCTGTATAAATGTTTAAAACTGTTATATCCTCCTGATAAACTGACCTATTTCTCATTAGGAAGTGACTTTCTTCATCTCTGGTAATATTCCTTGCTCTGAAATCTATTTGATAATAACATAACTGTTAGATTTTTGGCTAATGTTAGCATGATGTATCTTTTCTCATTATTTTATTTTTAACATGTATGGGTCTTTGTATTTAATGTGTGTTTCTTGCAGCATATAGTTGGGTCTTGCATTTTTTTATCCAGTCCAATCAGTCTCTCCCTTTTAATTAGGATATCCAGACCATTTATACTTAATTATGATTAGGTTTATACCTATAATCTTGCTGTAGTTTCTGCCTGTCCTTTTTCCTCTTTTTTGCCTTCTTTCTGATTAACCAAGTATTTTTTTTATAATGATTCCACTTTAACTCCTTTGTTGACTTATTAGCTATAACTTTGTTTCTAGTGGTTGCCATAAAGTTTACAAAGGTATACCTTTCACTTAACAACCTACCTCAAGTGATATTATACCACTTCACATGTAAGAATGTATAACAGTATACCTTCATTTCTCCCCTCCCAACATTCATGTTCTTGTTGTTATAAAATAACACAATATATTATTTTCCGTTTGTTTAAACAACTACTGTATTTGTCAAGCTTCTCCATAGAAATAGAACCAATAGGATGTGTGTGTACTTGTAGAGATTAGAAGGAACTGGCCCATGTGATCATGGTGACTGGCAGGTCCAAATCCATGGTGTGGAACAGCAGCAAGACCCAGGGAAAATTAATGTTCCAGTTCCTTCCACAAGGCAAGAAGAACCAAAGCTGCAGATGGAGTCTGAAGGCAGTCTGCTGTAAAAGTCCCTTGTTCACGGGGGAAAGTCAGCCTTTTGTTCTAGTCAGGCCTTTAACTGACTAGATTAGGCCTGCCAACATTATGGAGAGCAATCTGCTTTCCTCAAGTTCCCTGATTTATATGTTAACCTCATCTAAAAACACCCTCACAGCAATACCCAAAACAATGTTTGACCAAATATCTGGGTACCTTATGCCCCAATCAAATTACCACAGGCATTAGCCATCCCTATCACCTTAAAAGTGAAAAGAAAGTGAAGTCGCTCCGTCATGTCCGACTCTTTGCGACCCCATGGACTGCAGCCTACCAGGCTCCTCCCTCCATGGGATTCGCCAGGCAACAGTACTGGAGTGGGTTGCCATTTCCTTCTCTAGGGGATCTTCCCAACTCAGGGATCGAACTGGGGTCTCCCGCATTCCAGGCAGACACTTAACCTCTGAGCCACCAATGAGACTTAAATAATGACAAAAATAGATATTTGTTTACATCATTACCATTTTGGAAGATCTTTTATTCCTTTGTATAGATCTGACTTCTATCCAGTATCATTTTCCTTCTGCTTGAAGGACTTCCTCTAACATTTCTTGCAGTGCTGGTCTGATAGACTCCTTCAGTTTTTGGATATTATCTCACCTTTGATTCTGAAGTGTATTTTTGCCAGGAATAAAATTCTAGGTAAACAGTTTTTTTTCTTTCAGTCTTTTAAAATTCTTGCTCACTAGCACTGCTTCCAACGAGCACTGGGATGTCACCTTTATCTTTGTTCCTCCTTGTTCCACAGTACGTAACATGTCCTTTTCCAGTTGTTGCATCTAAAATTTCATCCTTATCACTGGTTTTAGCGTGGTTTTCATCATCTTTCTCATTTAGAACTTGCTGAGTTCCTTAGATGTGTGTGCTTACAGTTTTCATCAAATTTGGAAAGTTAAGTCACTGTTTTCTCCAACTGTTTTTCTGCCTCACCCCTATCCTTCTGCTCGCCCTAAGGGATCCCAGTTACCAGACATAAGGCTGCATGAAGGTGACCCACAGCTCACTGAGGTGGCTTTCATTTTTTTTTAAGTTTTTTTCCTCTGTTTCATTTTGCATAGTTTTCACTGCTGCATCTTTTCAAGTTCATGTCCAATCACCTATTAACCTCAACCAGCTTATTCTTCATCTCATAGTTTTCATCTCCAGAAGTCAGATCTGGGTTTTTTTTTTAATATCTCCCATGTCCAGAACATGCATCTTTACAAAATAGTTGCAATAACTGCATTAATGTCCTTCTATGTTTATGCTAGCATCTTGGTCAATCCTGAGTCAATTTCAATCAAGTATTCTCCTCACCACATCATGTTTCCTACCTTTTTGCCTGCCTGGTAATTTCTGATGGGATGGCAGACATTGTGACTGTACGTTGTTGGAGACTCATTTTTAAAATACCTATCCATCTTCTTGAGCTTTGTCCTGGGATGCAGTTACTTGGAAATAATTTCATCCTTTTGGGTCTTGCTTTCCTGACGTGTAAAGTGGGTCCAGAGCAGTGCTCAGTGAAGGGTTAATTATCCCCACTGATGAGGCAAGATTTTCCTGAGTACTCTACCCAGCGCCCCATGAATTAAGAGCTTTCGAGGGGCTGGTAGGAACAGACGTTGTTCCTGGCCCTGTGCGAGCACCAGGAACCGTTCGTTCTAACCGATCTGAAAATTTCCTTCAACCTCGGGTAGCTCTCCACAAGCGCGTGCTGATCAGGGCTCTGCGGCATGTTCTCAGGACGTCTCCCTGTCCAGCGCTCTCCTCTCCGGCACTCTGTAAACTCCCACTGCTTTGTTCTGGGCTCTCAGCAGCGCTCCTCAACTCAGGCAGCCCACCCGGCTCCCCCTGTGTCACCTTCCCTGAGGTGGCCTGGAAACTCTCAAGGCTAGAGGCTGAGGCCATCATAGGACTCAACTCATTCATTTCACATTCTCCATGTATCACTGTCCTTCACTGCCTGATGTTCAGTATTTTAAGAATTGTTGTTTCATGTATTGTCTATTTTGGATGTCTTTGGTCAACTACGTTTCAAGAGTAAGTCCAGTCCCCTGTTACTTCATTTTACCTGGAAGTGGACATCTACAATGTGGTTCTTGGTCAGGGATGTTACAGGAGAACTGAGTGTGTAGCTGCATGTCACACCCAGGCCTTGGTACTTCTCTGGAGATCTTTCCTGTTTACCTCAGTCGCTCCTACACTCATCTTCTCAGTCTTATTCCTGCCTTTCCCCGTATGCACCTTAATGTTGAGTCATACCAGACACCCTCCCCTCTATCTTCTCCACATCTCAGCTCATGCTGCCCCCTCTGCTTGGAAGCCGCCTCTCATTTTCCACTTGGCAAACTCCTGCTTATCCTCCAAAGTCCCAAACAACTGACACCTGTGCTGTGAAAACTTCCTCACTTCACCCCAACAGAGAGGCTGTCCTCTGTACTTCTGTGGTATTTTATTCATACCACTGATAAACACTGGGCCCCACTGTATTGCAGTAAGTGATATGTCTGTCTCTCCAATTTGCTTATGAGTTCTTAGAAAGAATAGGTCTTTTTGTTTTTGTGTAACTAGCACCTTTAACATAAAAACATCCTTTACCTTTAAACGGATGTTTCTTCAGTGGAGCATACATCCATTTATCCCTAAGTAGTCATTTACCATTTTCCTGGCCCTCCTGTTGGCTGCATGGTCTGTCTTCTCCCTCTTTTTCAGACTTCTCTCATTGCTCATTCTCTGAGCTCCAACTCCCTGAAATTCTGCTCACCTTGGAATCGCTTCAGCATTTCCTTCATCATTGGTAGCCGGCACACAGTCTTCACCATTAGATCTTCAGAGGAATAGTTCACATCCTGATTCTCACACCTAAGAAAAGTACAGAAGGCTGCTCTTCTTAGGAGACAAACAGGATGGCCAAGACACTCAACTCCCAGCTGAAGGTTCCAAGCCCAGGGTTCAGGCTACTGCTCTCCCATTCCTTCCGGTGCAAGCAAACAGCAGGATTCCTCCCACAGCCCCCTCACATCAGTGCCTAGACTCATCCATGGGGCGCCCAGGCCTCCTTTCCTCTCTGCTTGGCCTGTATCTTTACAATCTACTCAACCACCCATAAGCAGGAAAGAGCTCATACCTGGTCAATACCTCTGCTGGATTCTGTGAAGAGAAGAAACAAAGAAAGAAGTTATGTACCCTCCCCTTGAGATCTGTTACTCAGCTTGGTGAGCAGGTGTTTTTCTGTCAGTTGTTTTTGTGAGCATCACACAAGATCTGCTGCTGCCAAGCCCAATGGGGTTAACACAACACAGTCTTTTTTCGTATGAGCCCTCTGCACTATTTAACAATGCTGACCCATCCTTTCCTTGAAACCCTCCTCTTCCTCCATTGGCACTATGGCATGAGCTGTCTCCTGGCTTTCTGTCTACTTCTCCATCTACACTCCTTCAATCACAGACAAGTGTTAGTGAGGATGTGGTGGGAATATAAAATGGTTCAGCCACTTTGGAAAAAGGCAGCTTCTTAAAAAGTTAAATATAAATATACCAGATAGCCTAGCAATTTTGCTCCTACTACTTAGCCAAGAGAAATGAAAACACATGTCCACACAAAGAATGGCAGACAAATATTAAGGCAGAACCCTTCATAATAACATTTGGGTTGTGTCCATCAACTGGTGAACAGGTATACAAAATGTGGTATATTCTGCAATGGAATACTATTCAGGAATAAAAAGGGAACGCAAATATGATACGATGCTCCAACATGAATGAACCTCAAAAATATCATACTAAATGAAAGAATTCATATACAAAAGAAATGTGTTATTTCAAAGATTCTGCTGTAATATATGTTTGGATATGGAATTGGAATTTCACTGCTCAAGCAAGTTGTAAACGTTCTTGACAATTCTTGGAATTTAAGTATCTCATATTACCTGAGCTCATCAAACCTAAACTTCACATTAATTTCCTTTGGAAAGTGAATCTTTGATGCTCTAATTATATAATAAAAATAGTAACACAATTAGCAAAAGAGAAAAAACATGTCTTCTACTAAATCCACTCACCAGGAAGGACACTCAGCTCCAAAGACAAGAGGGAGGTGAGTTAGCGATGTTAACAAGTCCAGAAAGACAGAGACGATGCCCGTCCCTGCTAGCCTCACCTGCAGCAGCTCCAGGGTGGAGCCCTGACTCTTCTCCTTCACCTCTAGGATGAGCGTCTTCAAAGAAGTGATCATTTGATTGAGCCTGAAGATGTTCTCACTCTGTTTCTTCTTTGTCTCTTCCTCTTCCTGCCTCAGTCCCTGAAGAAACAGTTGCTCTTCTTCAGTCAGGAGGACGTGCAGCTTTGCAAACTCCGCGATGACTCGCATGCGCTGATTCTTCATCTTCTCCTGCAGGCACAAGAGACTGGCTCAGGCCTTTCTCTGCCTGGTCCTTCCTCCTAAATTCCCTGCATGTGACTCCCCAATTGTCCACGACCCCTTCATCCAAATCACCTCCTCCAGAAAAGCTCCTGCTCACCCCCTACAAATTTCCCCTACTCCTTTCTCTATGCCTGCTTGATATCTTTGTACTAATCTTTATAGTATTAAGTCATTCTTTGTAGTATCTGAGTTTCTACTATTGATCGTCATGTCTTGTTCGTATAGTTTTTAAACTAAAATGCACTTTCACACCTATTATTTAATTTAGCCCTCAGAACACCTAGTGTTTTGTTGTGGTAAATCTTAGACATACATGTGCGTAGCCACATCATACCTCCCAACTGGACAATAGCTCTGGGGGAGAAGTTCATTTGCTTTCCACAGTGCCATGGACCCAAATCAACACCCACCTCAGAAGCCAACCCAGGAGGACTGCAGGAAGGAAAGGGGTACCACCCTTGAGGTCTGAGGATGAAGGGTGTGGAACACATGTGGTCCAGAGCCTCAGGAGAGATCAATTCTTCCTGTTCTGCCAGCCTGACAACTGATAAGAGCCTGTGAGCTCTTCCCAGCCAAAGCCCCTGAGCAGCCTAAGGCTGAAAGGACTAAGGGCAAGAAATACCCAGCTCCTTCTGCCGTTACCTTCCACTCTGCAGCATTCTTCACTTCCATGTCCTGAAAGTGCATGACTTTCTTCATCTTGGCTGTCAGACTAGACTGAGTCTTCAGAAGTTTTTCCTGCCAGCAGAACAAACACGCCTAAGTAAGAAATCATCTCTTCCAGCATCTTCCTTGTTCAAGAGCTGAAAGTCACCTCAGCCAAACACGGGATGAGACTCAGAAGATGCTGAAGATGACCACAGGCTAATGCACGAGAACCAGTCTGCTCTCAAGTCATCAAAACACTACATAAAGTTTGCTCATTAAGCAGACAAAAATGAATAAATACCCAGTACTGGCAAGGGAGAAGACCTCTGGCACCATAATAGTAGGAGAACAAAAAGATCCCATCTAGTAAAGTAATTATCCTCCGATTAAAATAAATAAATAAATAAATAATTTTTTTAAAAGTTCCCACCTTTTTGAAGGGCAACTGGCAAGATTTAACAGTATTTAAAATATGCAATAATCCTACTTCTAATAATAATACCCAACAAAATACTAGTAAGAATAATATATATAGGAATGTTTATTGCAGGATTCTTCATTATCCATCAGTGGGGAATTATTAAATTATGATATACTGATACTCTACATCAATTTCAGCTCTCGCTATAAATCTGTTTTGAAAAGAACAAATATACATGTGTCTGTGTGAGTGTGTGTGTTTATAGTTGAATAGAAAATAATCTGGAAAGATATATAACTAGGTATTATTAACACTGCTTATTTCCAGGGAATAGGAATGGTGGAGGGAGTCGGAGGGAGAACTAGAAATTTAATAAACTTATTTTGTTTGGATTTCTACAAGAAGCATATATCCTTTTGTAATTAAAAAAACCCAAATAAGCTATAAAAAAATTGAGCCAATTAGAATCAACAGAGTAAGCTGCAGAGGGTGAGCACCCAGAAGCAGAATGTCAGGCAGGACCTTAGAGAGAGAGGCGGACAGGTTAGAGATGGGCACACATCAGGGTCAAATCCCATGCGTGTGTGGAGCCTCTAATGAAATAAACAGCTCCTCTGAAGGTGACTAAGAATTTTTTTTAAGTTTTCACTTGTGTTTGCTAATGACATATATTTGAAATAGAACTTTTCCATTTTTAAAAGCCCTTAACAGTTCCAGTATGCATGAATTATGCTGTCCCCTTATCCAAGACTCTACCTATGCATTTCTGTCTCCCGCCACAGTTGGGATCTAAAGAGTCCCCTGGGGAAACCCCTTGGGGAAGATGAGAAAACCTCTTCCCTGCAGTAACAAAACCTGCCACGAGGTGGCAGGAGGGCAACACCGAGCATTTCAAAGCTGGGGAGACCCCCAAGTTCAAAAAAATCACTTTTTCTTCATGTAACTTCAGACTTTTGATTTTATACAGAACTACCACAAAAGAACATACATTTATAGAATGAAGACATTTTCTGTGTGATGTAGTTTAAAAGACGTGAAACTTCAAATCAGATCTGAGTTTCAGTCTAGACCTTCACCAACTAGCTATGATCTGTGGTTAAGTCAGTCTCACGTATTTCCTGGGCTGCAGCTTCCTTACCCAGAAGATGAAGGCAACCACAATAGATGCTCTTTTCTTAAACACCATCCCAGCTCTGAGTTTCTGTGAATTTCAATTATTGTATCCTCTGTGTCCAATCCAAGCAAGTAGGTCTTACCTCCAAAATACACATCAAATCTGCCCATCTGCCTATTTGCCACTTCCTTGTTCAAACCACCTCTTGTGTGGACGGCTATCAATACAGCAGCCTCATGACCAGTCTCCCTGTTTCCAATCTTGTCCATCTCTCAGCCAATGTCCTCGGGGCAGCCAGAATCATCTTCTAAAGACCAGTCAGGTCACATTACGTCAGCCCCCTGCTGAGATTGTCCACCGGCTTCCCTCATCACTGAGAAAATTCAACCACCCAGTGGTCCGACAGAAGGCCACTCTTGCCTGCATCTCCCAGCTCATCTCGGGCTACTTTTCCTCTTGCTGATCATGATTCGGGAGCATCGCTCTTCTTTCAGTGTCATGGGTATGTCCTGCTTTTCCCAGCCTCAGGGTCTGAATTTGCTGTCTACTGCCTGAGACATTTTTCCCACAGTTCCTCTGATAGCTGATCCATCAAGCCTCAGCTGAAATGTCATCTCTTCAGAGAAGACTGCCTGTGCCCTTATTAAAGCCCTCGTCACTTCTCTGGCGTGGCACACTATTTCTTTCATAGCACATATTATAATCTATGATTATCTCTTTGTCTACAGTTTACCTCCCACCCCCACCCCAGCCAGACTCGAAGCTCCATGGTCTTGTCACCACTGTATTCCTTTTCTGGGTCTGGTACTACAGGACAGCATCTGACACAAAATGGGTGGTTCAAGAACTATTTCTTAAATGAGTTAATAGCAACGAAGGGATTAGTTCCCAGGGTCAACAGACTAAATATTGGCTCAAAGGAAAGAGGTGCTGGGCTTGGAAGCCTTTTCCAGAAAAACACTTGGCTAACTGAAGTTTATGAAGCTATTTCTCTCTGTACGTTCTCTCCTTCTCTCCCACCATCAACGACTCCATTAAAGACAACCTCTGGAAGACTGCCCTCTGGGAAGGTACTAAGATGTAGGTCCACGGTCCTCTATCCTATCTGTACATCAGAATGTCTTAAAAGTGCTTCCAGGGGGCTCTAATGTGTATCCTGAGCCACTGGTGTGGCCCAAGAGAGCAAGCAGAGTGGGCTAGGAATTCATCAAAGCAGGTTTCCTGGATGTGGTGCTCAGGGGCTCAGATCCTAAGAGAAAGCATCCAGCACACTGTTTGCAGGGCTCAGGTATGGGCACAGATGGGGGGTATCTTCCACAGACTTTGGAACTCCAAACATTTATGACACATGCACATGCTGAGAATGGGATGGTGGAAATAGGGAGCTTCACCCAAGAGCAACCTAACGTTTTTCGAGTTAACTAGGGGTGGGGATGTGTGTGTGCTAAGTCGCTTCAGTCGTGTCTGACTCTTTGCGACCCTATTGACTATAGCCCACCAGGCTCCTCTGTCCATGGGATTCTCCAGGCAAGAATACTGGAGTGGGTTGTCACGCCCTCCTCCAGGGGATCTTCCCAACCCGGGGATCCAACCCGTATCTCTTCTATCTCCTGCACTGGCAGGCGGGTTCTTTAGCACGAGCACCAGCTGGGGTGGGGATGGAGGTGGATGAACAGAGCAGTGATTAAGCAGAGGAGGGTGCAGAAAAGGACCAATCCTGGGGATTTCCCTGGTGGTCCACTGGCTAAGACTCTGTGCTCCCAATGCAGAGGGCCCGGGTTCAATCCCTGGTCAGGGAACTAGATCGAACATGCCACAACTAAAAGATCCGGCACGCCACAACCAAGATCAAGGATCCCACGTGCCAGAGCTAAGACCTGGCACAGCCAATTAAACAACAATAAATTTTTTTTAAAGAGAGAGCTTAAAAATATATAATCTAATATATATATAATCTAAAATAAAATACATAATCTAAAGAAAAAAAGGATAGACTGATAATTCTAAAATGCTGTGTTTTTAGTCTCCTATGCCCCCTGCCTCCTGTCCCTCCTCCCTGGACTTCGTGTCACATTTACTTCACTCTCACGTGTCCCCAGCGAGTACCAGATATCCGGACTGCGGTCCTAGGCTCCTCTCTCTTCCCGACCCATCATTCCAATTAGTCACGATGTTACTGTGTCCAGCTCACAATTAATCCATGCCCTCCTCTTCTCCAGGACCCCTGTCCTGCACTGATTCAGGCCCTATGGTCTCCTGCCTCAAATGGAGCAACAACAGCCTAACTGGTCTTTTGCATTCATTCCCCATGGATGCCACGGTGAACTTTGTAAAACAAAAGAATGAGAGCTGATCGTGGCTTCCCTTGCCTTAAAATCTTTCAATGATCCCGATTCGCTGGAAGAGAAAACTCAGGCTTTTCAGTGTGGTGGACAAGATCCTCCACAACGCAGACCCTGCCTCTTTCTTCAGCTTCAACTCCCACCAGCCCCCATCCCATGCCCTACCCTCCTAAGGCAAAGAGCAATCTCGTCCATCAAGAGCGGACTCATGTTTCACTCCTCTATAAAGGTGATCCTCACCCCTGTCTGATGACTCTAATCTCAGACCTTCCGTGTGTTGATAACTCACACACACTGAAATTACTGGTCTACATGCTTACATCCCCTACAAGACAAGACCCACGTCTTTCTCATCCATTTATGTCCAGAGTCTAGAACAATGCCTAGCATACAGGAAGCACCAATAAAGGCTACTGAATAAAGAAATGAATATATACTTTCTAGTCTAACTTTGCATGTTTCCTGTTTATAGTCAGCTGATAAAAATGAACAGCATTTGACAGTTTACAATACACTTTAACTTGTATCATCATGTTTTCAACGAGTACTTACTAGATACCAATTCAGATGGAGACCACTGGAGTGACACCTTCAGTAATGGAAGGGGGTGGGGCTAGTCTGGAAAGGATGATCAAGGAAGGTCTTCAAGCTAAAATCTAAAAGGATCTAAAGGACAGAAGGTATGGGTAGAGAGAGAGAACAGGCTTGAAACAAAAGCAGGAAGGCCAGTGTGGCTGGAACAGAATATGATAAACTGATTTATTTAACTGAAGCTTCTTAACCCATAAGATAGTTAGAACAGAGAATCTCCAAATTCAAACATTAAGTGATTTTCCCAACTGATGAAGCTAGTAACAAAATCTAGACCTATCCCTCCAAGCCAGGCTTTTCCCAAATCATCAGCTGTTGATGACATCTGTAGGCACAAACCTGTACTGTCCAATACAGCATCTATTAGCCATGTGAGTTCCTGATATATGGAGAGTCCAAACGGATGTGTGTAAATGTAAAGCACACACAGATTCAAAGGCCCATCATGAAAAAATTAAAATATCTCATTGATAATTTTCATATCGATGTTGGATACTTTGGATAAATGAGTTATTAAAATCAGCATTACCTGTTTCTTCTCACCACTAGAAAAACTTTGAATAACAGATGTGCCTGGTACCATTTGTTTTTATTGGACAGCACTGGTGTATAACCTCTCAGGATGACCGAGCTGCCCGGAGGCCAGTCCCTGGAAAGTTCTGCGGTGATGACTGAGCCTCCACCGCCCTCCCAATTCCAGTTTTAAACTCTAGCTCTGATCTGTGAGTCTCTTAACTTTTTCGAGCCTGTCAGGGGTGGGGGTGAGGGTGGGTTTATGCTTCCAGTGCAGACAGTAAAGGTTCCCAGGGCATATACCGGCAGCCCAGCCCCGTAAACGGCCGGCTCACCCGGTAGCTCTTGAAGGCCTCGTCGGCCGGGGCCATGGTGTGGGCCTGGTGCTCCTGCGACTCCCTGCACACCAAGCATACGAGCCTCTGATCGTCCTCGCAGAAAAGCCGCAGCGGCTCCCAGTGGCGGCCACACAGACCCGCGGGCACGGGGCCCAGGCGCCGGCGCCGTATCCTCTCGGTCAGCCGGGCCAGGGCCCAGTTGGGCCTCATCGAGGCGGGCGCCGACGGCCGCCGGCACTCGGGGCAGCGGACGGGGCTGCCTCCCGGCGCCCAAGTGCGGCACAGGCAGCCGCGGCAGAAGTTGTGGCCGCACTCGATGGACACCGGGTCCTCGAAATAGTCCAGGCAGATGGCGCAGGTCAGCTCCTCCTGGAAGTCCTCGGCCTCCATGCCGCCCCTCTGTCCCGGATGAGACGCCTGCGGGCGGCTGGCGGTGGCCTTCGGACCCGCTGCCGCCGAACTCCTCTGGGGTTCGCGATCCAGCCGGGGCGCGGGGCTGCGGGGGGCTGCGGCCCTTCCCGCGCGCTCCGGTTTCCGCGCGAAGACCGCCGGTGGGAAGTGACAGGACGGCGGGCTGCGACGCGACCAACAAGAGCGATGCGGAAGTCCCCCGGGAGGCCTAGAGAGGCTTCGAGGCGCGCGGCGGTTTGCGGGGCGCGCCGGAGTATGGTGGTGCTCCCGCAGCTGCAAGCCGCTGCTGGTGGAACCAAACTGGGAGGCGCTAATGAACTTGTCCTTCCGGTTCGCCGGCTGCTCCCAGAAGATTTAGGGTCTAGAATCCTAGGCGAGCTGCTGCCCAGAAGGGCATTCCGGGGGAGGTACACCCTAGCGGCCTGGAGGGCCAGGAAGAGGACGGGATGGGGGCGGGGGGGGGGGGGGCGTCTGTGCAGCCCCGCTAGAAGTGGGCCTAAGGAGGCGCCCTGCCCCACAGGCTGGCTTTTTCTGAAGTCTGTCCTTTTTTGTTCAGCTTCATCCTGTCAATACAAAGGCAGACGTACAGATTCACAGACACAGGAAGGAGCCCGTTCTTGACCTCCAACCCCGAGGTCTAGTTGAGATGCTCAAAAGGCAGGATTTCTTGCTGCTCCCACAAAACCCACCCACTCAAAGCTCAACTCTCCTGGAGTCTCCTGGGCCGCCTGGAGAGCCAGCTTTCTGGGATGCAAGCAGGAAAGGGAGTGTTTAGCCCCCACGAGGTAGTGGGGAGCCATTTGATCACCCTGCCACCCTGATTTCTCTTTCCTTCCCAGCATAGGGGTCACACCAGGAAGAGGAAGCTCAGCCTCAGGGCGTGGGGCACACTCTGCCAGTGCAGATAGTGGTTCTGATCATTAAGCTAGGGAGAGGAACGCAGGGTTAGATGGTTTCCCCCAGGTTTGAGGCTTCCCACCGGTATTTTAGTTGGTTCGATGCAGAGGAAGTCTGTAGGCTAAGGATGCTCTGTGTCAGCTTGTGGGTGATCTGTGAGCCGCTGTTGTCTAAGATGCTAGGAAGGAGCAGCTGCTGGTGCTAGAGCTGTTCCTGACCCTCCCACCTGAGAAGGTCAAGACCAGGGTGTGAAAGCAGTACCTGGAGAGTGGAGCTGAAGCTGTAGCTGTTGTGAGGATGTGGTGAAAGACCTAATAGGACCGGGAGAGTGGAAAGAAATCAGGTGTTTTAAATGGGAGTGCTTAAGATCCAGAAGCATGGGGGGGGGGGGTGGCTTCCCTTGTGGCTCAGTGGTAAAGAATCTGCCTGCCAATGAAGGAGACACAGGTTCGATCCCTGGTCTGGGAAGATCCCAACTGCTGCAAAGCCAGTGCGCCGCAACTATGCTCTAGAGCTGAGGGGCCGCGACTGCTGAGCCCAAGCACTGCGGCCGGCACCCCAGAGCCTGGGCTCTGAAGTAGGAGAAGCCACCACGCTGGGAAGCCCGGGCACCACAGCTAGAGGGGAGTCCCCGCTCCCCACAGCTAGAGAAAAGCCCACGAAGCAGCCAAGACCTAGCACAGCCAAAAATAAAATAAATAATTTTAAAAAGATTCAGAAGCACAAGTGAATTGACTTTTGGTACCCAACTTGAAGACAGTAACCATTTTTGCTCTCCAAAGGAGCATCCATTGAGGCTTTCAACAAGCAAGATGCTTGCCCGTCTCAGGGAATTATCTGTTTCCCTTCAGCGGAGTTTTGATCTTGTGTTTCTGAGGTGCTCAGTTGTTTATTCTTCCCATTCTATTTCTTTTCTTATGAAAGAAATGTTTCATTCTTCTTGTGTCCCAAAATCAGATACTGCCTTTTGTGTAATATGCTGCATAAGTGGTTACTGACTGTATGATCAGATGATGTGGACAGGGGGTTCCTGTGATCGCTGTTTTGGGGTTTTGATGGAAGTTCTACAGAATGCCTTAAATGTTTAAATGATAAAACTGATAGCTGCATTTTCTTTGTGAATTGGAATACCATATTGAGAAGGGATCTGCGGGAACTCCATGGTGGCCAAGTGGTTAGGACTCTGCACCTGTAGTGTGGAGCCCAAGTTCCATTCCTGGCCCCCGGTGGTGAGAACTAAGATCCTGAGTCCCACAAGCTGCACAGTGCAGCCAAAAAAGGGAGAGAAAAAAAGAGAGAGAAGGAATCTGAGTTTCAAATATGAGCCAAGCAAGAAGGGGTGCTCTTATCTGTTACTGATGCAAACATGACTGTCTGTGGTGTGAACGTCTGTGTGTCTCTATGTCTGCCTTTGTATTGAACTGTATCTCCTTAATGTCTCTGTGTCTTCAATCCTGCCATACTTCTGAAATGAACATCCTTCTTAACTGAAAATGTTGAGGCTCCCTAATTTACAATTTTATTCATATGGAATTTCAGGGGATCTCAATTGGCTAAACAATCTCAACAAAGAAGAACAAAACAGGAAGATTGATACTTCCCAATTTCAAACATTACAAAGCTACAGTGATCAAAACATGGTACTGCCATAAGAATAGATATATAGATCAATGGAATCGAATTGAGAGTACAGAACCAATGCCATACATCTCCAAGCAATTGATTTTCAACAATGGTGCCAAAAACTATTATATGTAGGGAAAAGGAACTTTTCAACAAACAGTGCTGGGACAGCTGGATACCTACATGGAGAAGAATGAAGTTGGACCCTTGTCTCATAACATATACAAAAATTAATTCAAAATCAAAGACCTAAATGTAGAGCTAAAACTATAAAACTTTTAGAAGGAAAGGTAGATGTAATCTTCATAGTCATGGATTAGGCAATAGTTTCTTAGCTATAACACCAAAATCATAAGCAACAAAAGAAAAAATTGATAAACTGGATTTCATCAAAATTAAAAACCTGTGCATCAAAGGACACTGTCAGTTAAGTCAAAGACCACCCACTGAATGGAGAGAATATTTGGAATCATACTTGTGATGAGGATCACACAAGAAGAACTCAACAACAAAATTACAAATGACCCAATTTTTTTAAATGGGCAAAGGATTTAAATAAACATTCCTCCAAAGCAGCTGTACAAATGGCCAATAAGCACATTAAAAGATGCTCAACATCATTAGTCATTAGGAAAATACAAATAAAAACCACAATGAAATATCATTTCACCCACTAGAACGGCTAGAATTTAAAAATCAAACTGGGAAAAAAGATAATACCAAATGTTGGCAAGGATGTGGATAAATTGGAACCCATTTATACATTGCTACTAGGAATATAAAAGAGTAACTAGTACAACTGCTGTAGAAAAAAGTTAGACAGTTCCTTAACAGGTTAAACAGAAGTGTTACCATATCCCCCAGCAACTTCACTCCCAGGTATTTACCAAAGAGCCCTGAAAATATGTGTTCACACAGAAACTAGTACATGAATGTTCATGGCACCATTTTTCATAATAGCCCCAAAGTGGAAACAATCCAAATGTCCACCACCTCAAAAATGAATAAATAAAATGTGGTATAGCCATATGATGAAATAATAATCATAAAAAGAATGAAGTACATGATGCTAACTGAAAGATGCCAGTCACAAAAGACCACATACTGTATGATTCCATTTGTATGAAAAGCCCATCCTAAGAAAATCTGTAGAGACAGAACGTAGATTAGTGGTTGCTTATGTCTGAAAAGGTATGGGGATTTGGGGGTAAAAGCTAAGTATTTTAGGGTATCTTTTTGAGTTGATGAAATGTTCTTAAATTGTTGGGATTATGGATACACAACTCTGTGATTATACTAAAAGTCATTGAATTGTATACTTCAGATGGGTGAATTATATGGTATGTAACCTACACCTCAATAAAGCTATTTAAAAGGGAACATCATCAAGGAGAAATTCAGAATGATGTCAGTTGCTTTTTTCTGTCCTTGGTCACTTGGCTGGGCTCTGGCTATACTAGATACTGGATTCTTTACGAAACACTGTGTAGCAGAAAGAAAACATTATTATTTTGATAGCTGTTGCCAGACTGTCTGGGGAACCAGATGTCTTTCCTTCAGAATAAACCTTCCTAATTTACTGGAGGATCCTTTGAGATTCCATTTCCAAACCTAGGAACCGCTCTTTGTTGAGAATTTGAGGGCAAGGAAGAACTGAGAAAGGAAGTGTTTCTGCAAAAAGGTGGAAGCTGGAAAGCTTTTGGACCGAAATGACTGAGAAACTCAAGAAAAAAGAAGCCTGATATTCAGCGCTAGATTACCTACTGAATCATACTGTGATATAAATGTCCCTTACTATTATCCCTGAATCAACAGTAGTGATTTCTGTGTTATACTGAGGACTATGAATTTTAAAAGTAGTCATAGAGATCTTCCAAAAGAGTGTAGCCAAGTGTTTGAATACATCAAATCTACATATCAAAGGACCCTGGGTTATATATGCATGAAAAGCCAGGGTTTCTGAAGAAGATTTATGCGGCAAGACTGGAGGCATTTTTGGTTACAGGACTTCGAAGGTGGGGGGAGCAGAGGATGTGGACAGCTGGAAACAGGACACCCATTGAGACAGGAAAGAGGACTGTCCTCAGCAATAGGAATGCCAGCTCGGTGGTCAGTATTTAATGTGCAGGGCAGGGAAAGGCACTGTTTTAGGGAGGCTTCTGCTGGCCAGCTCTGGAAACAAGCTTGTGAAAGCTATGATGCTGACACAAGGGAATTCTGGTGAGAAGGCATGACAGGACTCTCCAAGGAAAAGCTTCGGACACCAGGTCCCATGCCCCGCCACCATGGCTCTTGGATTCACAACCACACCCCTTCATTTGCCATGGAGATAAACCCCCACTCACTGGATGTCTGGGCCAAGAGCTGATCACTGGGTTTCCTTCTTAGCGGAGCCAGGTGTCTTCATAACTCTGCAAAAGCTGAGACTTTTTCTAAATGGGAAGAGACCTAACGGAAAGGCAGGAGGTAAAATGGGCTGAGCACTCTGGCCCTGATTCATTGGAAGGAACCATCCAGCTGTTGGGTGGTCAGGACACATTTGCTGAGAACCTGCTTTTCTACTTGATAGCGTGGGGGCGTTGTGCTCCCCAGAGGGTGAAGGACCCACCATGGGGGATCTTCAGGACCCATACATCAGGGGCAGGCAGAAGGAGGGACCTCAGAGCCCCTCTCACCTGCTTCTCCAGGCCGTTCTATTTCCACCACTGGGAAGTTATCCGTTGGTGCCTTGCGTCTTTTGACACTCTCTGAAGTCGGGGAGTAATTAGAAGACGGGGATTTGTGCCTCCAGATCCTCCACCATCTCCCCAGGCCCAGGAGGACAAGCTCCAAAAGCGTGAACAAGAGACAGAGCCCCGTGACCCCAAACATGGTCTTCAGGAAGATGGTCTTCTCAGAGGGGCGGGAGAGGTAACAGTTGGTACTGCCAAGGCAGGGCTCTAGACGACAGACAAAGGAGGTGGGCATCGTGAACCCGAACAGGTGGTACTGCCCCCCCAAGGCTGCCCCCTCAAGGGCCAGCCGCACCCCCAGCTGTGCCACGTAGGCCCAGAGCAGCCTGGAGCTGCCAGCGCCCGCGGCCTCTCCGCCCTTCTCCGCTTGGCCGCTCAGCGTCTCCTCTCCCGTCTTCCCCTTTTCCGACGCCTCCCAGTGCCAGATGACGTGATACAGAATGAAACCCACGTAGAGGGCGCTGGGCACAGCCACCAGCGTGACCTGGAAGGCCCAGAAGCGCAGCGGGGAGAGGGGGTGGAAGGCGTCGTAGCACACGGTCTTGCAGCCCGCCTGCTGGGTGTGACACACGAACTCGCTCTGCTCCTCGCCGCCGCCGAAGACCCCCGTCCCGCCGGCGGCCAGCAGCACCAGGCGGAGCCCCAGGAGCGCGGGAAGCAGGAGGCGGCCCACGGGGGTGGGGTGCCGGCTCTCCTCCGCGGCCACCCGCCTCAGGAAGCTGCCGCACATCCTGTTAGGAAGCAGAGGACAAGGGTGAGCGTCGGGGCGCTGCGCGCCGGGCCCCTCTTCACTCCCGATCCAAGGACGGGTGAGGCAGGCTTGCTTGTTCCTCCCTGAGAACCTGGTTGATCAGATACCACGAGCTGACTGCACCTCTTTACAGTTACGGAGGCATCTCTCTAAAATACTAATAGTGAGTGAGTGGGACTGTGGCTTTCTCTTCTTCCCCCCTCCAGTACTGCTGGGAATTCTGGTGAGAAGGCACGACAGGACTCTCCAAGGAAAAGCTTCGACGCCAGGCCCGCCCACCCATCCACCCACCATGGCGCTTGGATTCGCAACCACAGCCTTTCATTTGCCTTGGAGATAAACCCCCACGCACTGGATGTCTGGACCGAGAGCTGATCACAGGGTTTCCTTCACAGGGGAGCCAGGTGTCCATAACTCTGCAGAAGCTGAGACTTTTTCTAAGTGGTAAGAGACCTAACGGAAGGGCAGGAGGGGAGAGGAACTCTGGACCTGCAGGGAGAGCAGAGGCTGTCTTTGTCTCTCTCTTTCCCTCCCTTCCTCTCTCGCTTCCCAAACGCTGAATAGTCAGAGTCCTCTGAAAACCGCTGCCACCCCAGGTCGGGTGCTCCTGTCCATGTCGTCGGAACAAAATCGGCGCTGCCCCCGGGAGGGGTGTGCGTTCCTCCGCTGCCCGCCCTCCTCCGGCTCCAGGCCCCCAGGGGCTCACAGGCGGGTCAGTCTGGCCTCTGCTCCCCTCACCGTGGGGAGACGGAGACGAGGTTGGGTCAGGGGATCAGTGGGGGTCCAGTGAACAGAGCGAATGTCGCCGCTTATGTGGTCTGATGCTCTGAGCAGCTTAGGAAAGGAGAACACTTGGAAGAAGACCCGGCGGAATCTGCTAGTTAAATGTCACGGGGTTCGGGCCAAAGCCGGAGCTGACTGGACAAAATTCGAAACTCGACTCTGCTTCGTCATTGCTCCTTGGGCTTATATCTCCCTCGTGGTGAGACGTGACTGGAGTCGAGGACAGGCTGCAGAAATCCTGCAGTTCTCGGGACTGAATGCGGTCACACCGTGAGGCCAGTTTGCCATCTTTCATCTGTGTCCTCTCAGCAGCCCTCAGCATCCAACTGCTCTTCCTAATTCTCCTCCATCAGCCCAAACTCTGACACACCTGGTTCCCCTCACCCTCAGAAGACCGTGGGAAGCTCTTATTCCAGAGAAAATAGAGACTGTAATGTGAAACCCTGCAGCTACTTTTATCTTCACAGTCATGGCCTGCTGTAGCATCTTCGAGAAAGAAGTGTCTTTCCACTTGTCCAAGGCAACCCTCCCTTTCAAATCTGTGTCCCTGGGTCACTCCTTCCAGCTTCTTTGAGGATTTGACCCCCAAATTACCTTTCCTGTAATTCCAACCATCCTTGTTTCCTCTCTGACTTTGAATTTGCTTCAGTTTCTTCCTGTTAAGTCTAATATTAATAATCTGAATTTCTATGTTAACACGGCAGCAACTGCAACATGCCTAATTTCTCTCATATCAACTATTATAATACCCAGAGAGATGCACAAAGCAATCTTAAATGATTATTAGTGTTATAAACTATAGATAAGAGTGGGCCATATTCCAGAACTTAGGGAGAATGGTCACTTCTGTGCAATCAAAAGAGACATTGAGATGCTTCCAAGAAACAGTTCTGAGGGCTTCAATTGACCAGAGAATTATATCACTATCCACCAACTGTGTGAAGCCGTATTTTGAGCCACTAAGAATCAGAGTCTGAACCTCTGCCTGCCCGCTAAGTCCCTGTCTTTCTTCTTCATCACAGACTGTGAAAACTCCAAGTGTATCAGGCTTCTGAAAATTCTTTTCAGTAAAATTGGGTTAAAATTTTAAAAATTTATTTCCAGTCTCTAGAAAGATGCAAAACTGGTCCCATGATTAAAGATGGCAGACTGAAGATAAAAGGTTATCCCCTCTCATCCCTAAAACGCCTTGAAAATGAGAGTAAATGGATCTTTATGAGTGCACCCACTACAAAGAGAGTAGGAGAGAGAGCATCAGATTGATCTTTGAAGGCAATAGGAAAGATTCTGGAGAAAACTAAATCAGCATGCTAGAAAGCACACTGGATAATTCTTTTAGAATTCAAAGGAAGAAGATGAATAATTGAAAACAGTAAAAGGTAAATAGATATGGATCAAATTCTGTTTATAATTTGGAAATCAAGGCAACAGTAAAATCACTAGGGTATTAGATGGGAAAGCTTAGTGAAAGCTTTCCTTAGAAAGGAGTGATTTCTTCATAAATCTTTAACTTTTGTTTGGTGACTGAGCTCCACAGCAGACCAAACAAGAGGTCACGTTTCAAGGCTGGTCCTGGGTTTCTCAGCCTCCACACTGTTGACATTTGGGGCCTGTCTCTTTGTGGGGCCTGTCTCTTTAATGTGGGGCCTGTCAGAGGAGAGCTGTCCCATGAGCTGTAAGACCTTTAGCAGCGTCCCTGGCCTCTGTCCATTAGATACCAGCAGTGAACACCAACCACCCCCCACAACGGTGTCCAGTTGTTGCTAAGTGTCCCCTGGGGCGCAATCGCCCCAGGCTGAGAACCACTGCTTTCGAGTAGCACTGATCCATCACCTGCTTCCGCTTGGCTTCAGTTACCAGCTCGTAAAGCAAGACGTCTGTCCAGAGCATCTCCAGGGCCTTTTGCAGGGCATAATCATCGGCCCATTCCCAGGTCGGTCGTACACCCTCCTGTGACGCTGCCTCCGGCCCCTCCCACTGCTGAGTTCAAAGGTTCCCAGCACTTCTTGCTGCGGGGGGGGGGGGGGGGGGGGGGGGAGTGGGTGGGTGGACTGAGCTCCGAGGGTTTCTGCCTCGGGCCCTCCTGCAAGTCAGTCACCAGACTAAATGCTAACTTAGTAAACACTCAGAAACTCTCAGCCTCATCTCATTTCAAAGTGCAGGTCCAGCACCCTCCAAATACACATCTCCCCAGCAGACCTGAGATTTAACAGAGAGCAGCCCCGGCATGTTCCAGGCGTCAGGAGTTTGAGTGGTTTCCAGAAGCCCTGCCTCTGTTCTTCTCTCTCGCCCATGCCCACCCCAGACCCATAGCCAGACAGCCAGATGTTCTCTGGGAGGCTCTCAGAACTGAACTAGGCCTCCAGGTCTCCCCACAGATGGAGAAAACAGGAAAAAGCAGGACAGGAGGACTTGCTTGAGCACCCCTGGTTTGGAGCACCCTGCCGTGTCCTTTGCACCGCGGCTGTTAGCACCAGCACAGGGCTTATTCTACACGCATTCCAGGGCCTAGAGGGTGTAGGCAGTAAATATCCTGCCCCTCTTCCTGAGTCTGCAGACCAGGGGAAGTTTCCAAGAAACTGGAGCCCAAATATAGCCATCCTTCCTCCCCTGCTTTCCTGGGACCCCCAGCTTTCCCCATCTATTCCAGCCATCTCCTGCCCACCCCTCTCATTCTCTGAGACCTTCTTCCTCCTCCCAGAAATATATCTTTGCCCACAGGGGGTCAGAGACCCCAGGCCAATCAATGGGACCTAGGGAGCTGAGGGCTCAGCGTTGTTGAGAAAGCTCAAGAGACCACTCTGTTTCCGGGAGGGGAGAAATAGTTGGCAAATCAATCTATTCAAGAGGGGGTTGGCAGGATCTAAACCCTGTCAAGACATTAGAAGCAGTTCCTATGAGCTCAAGAGTTGGGAGAACGAGGAAAGCCCAGAGTTTGAGGAGATTTTTAAATATATAAACATATTTTTTTTTATTCCATCATGATTTTGTTAAGAATTTTTCTGAGCATCTCTTTTTTGGGGGAGAGAAAAATTCCAGGATTCCACAGGGGGCAGAAGCCACCTCTGGAGAGAGTTAAGACTCAACATGGTCGTGAGGGAAGAACGTCCACTGAGGCCAGCGCTGGGCCCATCCCCCTGCCACCAGCTCACCCCACCTGGCCTTGAAAACATTCTAGATCTTTTGCTAAAGGGTTGTTAAGGGTGCAGCGGCCCGGGCATCACCAGGTATGCAGAACCTCAGGCCACATCCCAGGCTTAGCGAGTCAAGTCTGAATGTTAATGATATCCCAGCGTGGGCGTGAGCAATAGAATTGCAACTGCATAGCCCAGAGTCCGGGCAGCCCCCTCCACCGCCCCGGGCCCTGGGCCAGCCCATCCTTGCGCTGCCCCAGCACTCACCTGGCAGCTTCGAGCCAAAGCACCCACAGCTGAGGAAAGAGGCAGACAGAAGAGTCCTCAGGCCCGAGCAGGCAGGGTCCTCGCTCTCCCCCAGGCCCTGCCTCCCTCCACCACCCACTCCTTCCCCCACCCCTTGCCATTCCTGGCAGCCTCAGTGCAGGGTCAAAGAAATGCAACCAGAGGGGCAGGCAGCCCAGCTGCTAAAGAATGGACTCTGGAGAACAAGCGTCTGTTGTCAAGGGTGAGGGGTACATCGTCTACGTGAACTGAAATGGGGAGATCATGCGAAAGGGGGCAGAGGCTTCGGTGTCTTTTCATTGCAAAAGCTGGCAGGCAACAACAGAGAGCATTCCACACAGTTGTCTTGGCTGGGAGAAATAGCACGGGCCTCCCCCATAGCCCGATGGGCGTCTACCTGCTCCCTGGGAGAATTCCAACACCTCAGTTCCAGACGCCACCCCTGTGGAAACGCGGGGCATCGTGCCACTATTTTTAGCATTTAATATTATTACAGAGAAGTTCAAGTCCAGCTTGATAATCTTCACCTTTTAAGTCATTTGATCTTTTTACAGTTTGCCAGATGAATTTTTTTTTGAGGGGGGAGCCCCACACTACATGGCTTTAGGGATCTCAGTTCCCCAACTAGGGATTGAACCCCGGCCCTCTGCAGTGAGAGCATGGCGCCCTAACCACTGGACCACCAGAGTATTCTCAAATGAATGTTTTACTTTTGAAGCCTGTTTACTCCTCAGGGGATACTATTCAGCAGGACTTGAGAAACCTCTCACTGGCTCT